TATATATATATGAAAACATACTAGAGGGGAAAGCTGACTTTTTTACTGGCCATTAGACATCCTTATGTAGATAAATTTACTGGAAAAATTGGTAGTCTTTAGTATACTGAGTGGCAAATCAATGAACAAAACCAGAATGCTGTTCTTTAAACCAAAAAAGTGACATTCTGTCACTATTTTCCCCGGAACAATGTTATATCTGTACACGGTCTTTCATGACAGTGATTTGTGTTGTGGGGAGGAAACGCACATGCATCCTTTTATGGAAAAATATTTTCTTTTAAAAAATGAGGCAGATGTGCAACACAGTTGTGGAAAATTTATAGTTTAAGCTATTCAAAGCTGCTATGCAGCTTCCTGTACCACATAAGTCCAGTAGTTCTAAGAAAATACAGATATGGTAGAAAAAGTAAGAAAATTTTCACCACAAAACCAAATAGTTACCACCAACAGAGAAAGTTATACACAAAATATATCTCTCAATACAGTGTTTACACTTCATTTTAGTCTACAGATTCAGTGCCAGGAACAGGACTTGTTGGGACAGTCTTTTCAGAACTATTTGCCGCACGTGATTCCACATCGGGTTGGATTCCTTGTTCCATGTCAGTGGGAGTTCCCAGCTCCTCGTGGGAATTGAGTGTGCAGGACTGCAACACCTGCACAGCTAGATCCACATCTGCTTCTCTGAGAGAAACCTGCTCCTTAAGGACTTCCACCTTCTCATTCAGCTCATTCCTTTCTGTCTGAAGGGCCCTGCATAGCTTCTCCAAACGCTCCAGTTTTATTTGAAAGCCCTTGTATTCTTTATCTCTTACTGTTTTCTGAAGGACAAAAGAAAACAAAAGCTCTGTGATCCAACTGATTTTTTTTTTTCTTAAATTGCTGAAAAGAATCACCATTATTTAATCCTGAATATTAAGTCTTAATTAATCTAGCAGGTCAAATTCCAGCTGCACTAGAGCAAATTTGCTCAGCACGCTGACCACTACACTTCAGATGGTTTGTCTAAGCTGAGTGGCAACAGACACCTTTTGAAACAAGCAATGAGAACTATATAACTACATAATGCTAATTCTAAGTGAGGGCTGAGTATCAGTGAGGATCCTGATATGAAGTCCCATAAAGCAGTTAATTACAACCCAAATAATGGCAAGTATAGGGAGCAGAAGGGCATCCAAGTGGGAAATCTACAATCCAGCAGCAAAATCCAGGTCAGAAGATACCATACTCATGGCTCTCCTAACCAGCTCCTTAAAAGGACAGAGAAAGATAAGCAGTGCTATAGCAGAACCTGTATGACCTAGCATGGTTTACCAAGATGATACCTAATATACTTGAACTAGACATTAGACAGTATAGGCAGAACCATATGCCTATGGCCTGTATGAAAACTGTTTTAGCTCCTCTCTTGCTCGATTACAATTAAGTAATGGCACCTTATGACCTCAAAAGCAGCAGCAATGCAGAAAAAGTAACTGATCCCTTACGCACGGGTTATTTCCTTCATGTCAGTCTTCTATATTTAAAACAGATTTCAATTGCAGCACTGATTGAACTTGGCTCAACATATTAAAATACAGTCAATTCATTCAGCTTGTATGATTTCATACACATTATCCCACCAATTAAACAGTAAGCAAGGAAAGATGAGGCTGAATTTTTTTTGTGTCTGAGTTTAGATTTGTATAGCAGCTTTTTATTTTCCAGTACCATTTACACCACAGAATACATACGGCAGACAATCCAAGAAGAGGATACTGTGTATTATTTCCTATTCTCTAAAACTGAAAAACTGTATGAAGTTCTCTAGGATACAGACTCTAGTTTAGCCATACTGCTGCGTAAAAGATAATTACCTCTTCAGCCATCTGCAGAAGAGCCTTGTTGTTGTTCTCCCATTTTGTACGCCACACTATGGTTTCCTTTTCCAGTTTCTTAATCTTCTTCGTCATCTACAAAGTATAAAAGACTTAATTTTGTGGCTTGCAACATAAGTAGGTTTACATGAGTAATTTGACTTCTTAGTGTTACTTCCCAAGTCCAGTTTGAACAAGTTATTTTACAGAAAAGTCTTTCTGCACAAAATCAACCCCACAAATACAGATCCTGCATTCAAAGAAAACAAGATTGATTCTTAAAGAAACAGAGTAGCAACCTTCAAGAAAAACTAATAAACAGCTCCAGGAAAATATGTTTTAGAACATAAGCACAGCCAAAAAGACTGAGAAGTATTGTATGCCTTTGATAAAACACTGAAATTGGGATTTAGGTATTACGCAAATATGTAAAAAAACCAGGAAAAAACCCCATTTCTTTCCATTATATGACAAATTCTTATGCCCTATCTTATGATCCAAATTAAATGTCAAAATACTCCATATATTTTCAGACGGCAAACACTTACAAAATCTAAAATGCATCCCACTAGGAGCACGCATTTTTGTATTACTTTTTATGAAACTCTAAGTAATCCTATAAGTACCTTCTCCATTTCTTGCCTGAAGGTTGTAAAGAGTTCATTACTTTTTGCCATGGTGGTCTGGAATTCTTCAAACTTATCCATGTAAAGAGAAAGCTGTTGGGAAAGAGGCAGGAACATTAATCTGTACAGCTGTATCCAAATACAAAAATATTAAGGTACAAGAGAAAATGAAACACAAAATAGTAGAAGATGAACTTTTTATCTTTTTTTAAACTATCCTACGATTTCCATTTGAGGAGCATGCAGAACTTGTCTGAAAACATGCTATTCAAATTATATATGAAAGGAGAGTTCTATGTTTACAGAACAGTAACATATTCTAAAGAAAAAAGGATATTATGCTTAATAAAATGTTGGAAGACATCACAGTTCATCACTATCTAATTTTTCCTTCCCCACTGGAAAAAAAAAAGGTCTGTGGACTTTAATATACAGGAAATTCAGCACATGGTTGGTGAAATTTAACTTAGAAAAGACCTACCTTTCCACCTTAACCAGCCAAAGCTAACAACCAAGGCTGGGACAAAATAAGCATGATTTATTCCAGATATCAAAATACACATTCACAACTTATGAAATCTGCCCAGTGAGCAAAAATCATGGAAAGTGAATATTGACAAGGAATTCATTTAATAGTGAAAAACATTTTAACAAGTGAAGAGCATTAACATTCAATGACAGAAAATTTTCTTGCCCTGCACCACAAGGTCAATCATCAAGAAGGAACTGCAAAATATGTTAATTAACATAGTTTTTCCACAAAAAAATTAGGTTATGCTTCTTATTAAAACAACTTATACTATCAGTGTTGTGATTTGATGTTCTGAGAATACATGACCATTTACTAGTAACTTCTTACTCCATCTGAAGACTAATTCCTTCATTGGGGGTTGCAGGACAATACAATTCAGAGCACAGAAATATTGTATTTTCCTCTAACAGTAGAGGAAATTTCGTAACAGGAATTAGCCTACCTTGTCAACAGTAGATCATGACTCTCTACTATTATTGTGACTTAACCTTCTAGCTCATCTTACTCTACAAAAAATCTGTTGGCCCCAGGAAACCACAACTATACCCATTGTTACTATTAAAAAGCATAACAAAAAGGCAGTGGGATTTTAAATAAAGGGTAACCAGCTTGAAAAAATCATAAAAGACTAAGTGCAGCAAAACACTATTTGGGAGAATTTGGATATTAATGAGTCTAAGTCATTGGACACTCCAAGGAGGGGGGTGGTGTGTATGCGATTACATTTAACTACACGCATACACACACACACACTTTAAATATAACTGTTGGAACGCCTGGAAAAGAATTAGGTATAGTAAGTGTGAAAAAAGGGCATGAAACAGAGCTTGCAAGGAGACTTAATACAAAACCTCACAAAACTGAAGCAGTAAGAGGTATACAACAAAAGGAATAGCTACTGCTTCTCAGATGCTATGATGTTAGCTGACCCTGCCATTTCTCTTTGCCTTACATGCTGAGCTCACGTGTGGCCAATGACTGCAGGTGATCCAGAACCGCAGCACAAAAACTGGAGACCAAATCTCCACTCTCAGAGAGGATTTCGCTGTAGCATTTACAGCAAGAAAACAATCTGAAGATAGTAATTTTTTTGTGGACAGAGACACTCAGTTTTAGGTTACTAAACCTGAGTAACTACAAGGATAATCATGACACTGCTTGCTCCCAACCCTCCACAACAGGACGGGATGGAAACAGTAAGGAGCAAATTCTAGAATCTGCATGGGTAAAAATACCCACCCAACTCTTAATAGTCACAAGGGCCTCTCTGGTCCTGAACAGCTATAGAAGAGATAAAAATACCTTTGGAAGAGAGAACAACAGTTTCAGAGAAGCCAAGGAATGGTAAAGAAGTAGCCACAATGAATAGATTCTTAAGCTTTCGTATATTCTAGTCTCTGCAATATTAACGCTATTAATTTGAAAGGATACTAACTCCAGCAATTCAATGTTTAGCACCTTCCAATAACTACTCTCCAGATGCACTAAACAGCAAGTACAAGAAGTCAAGTCTTGACAATTTATACTTCACACTTCACTATTGAAGAGTTACCTACTGCAAATTAAATTTAAGACTTAATTAAAAGAATACCATGTACTTTTCACAAGTAGTATATTGCATCTGATGAATATAACATGTAGGGTTTTTTTCGTATGTTGTGTTATGTTCACTACAATCACAAATCTCTTGGTATTTTTTTTTCAGAACAACTGTTATTGAAGAGCACTCTATTAAAAAAATACCTGCTGCTTCAGCTGAGCTTCCTGTTGCTTCATCTGTTCACATTTGTGTCTGGACTCAGTAGCTTCTTTTAGCAACTAAAAAAAAAGCAAAAAGCCACATAATGAAGAAAGTACTCCTAAGAATGGCTTAAAGAACTTGATTTATGATGAAAACTGAACAAAGTTTAACATCACCTAAGGGTCATTCAACCATGGGTTTTTCATTACTATACTATACTTTCACATATACGATTTAAAGCATGTGCTGGCATGCAGAAATTATTTGAGACATTTTTCTAATTGGTAGCATGAGTCAACCTTCCTATTTCTGTAGCAAGTTTGAACTGCTAAATTTATATGAGTAGTTAGTTAATAAACTGTATGTAATTTGTAACTGTTTTGTAACCTCTCTAATTTATTTTCCACCTCCATTTCTCCAGTCACTAATATTATCTTACAGACTAGTTCAATTTTGCTTCAACTTGACACCATTTAGTAGATTCATCTTTGAAGAGATTTCCATCAGCTTAATATTCCAAAATTATGTTTTAATAATATAGAACAATCCAACACTGGATGATCATTTTAAGATTATACAAGAAAAGCAAGGCTTTTGCCTAGAAGTTATAAATACATAAGGAGCATAAAAAAAATCTTCACCTAAGTATTACTTTTTAATTGGAAGCCAACTTCTTGGAAGACTGCAAGTAAATTGCTGATTATCAACACACAAATAAAACATCAGGCATAGCTCTGGGGACAGATCGTTCAGAAGAACATATGCTTTATTCTGCATTTGTTATTTCTTATAGCATAAAAACAGAAGTTACAACTACAAAACAGCAAGAAAGTACTTCTGGTGTTTCAGCTCAAGACATTTCCTAGTCTAAGAAAAGTCTAAATGATATCCAGCACATGTGCTGAGAAAATGCAAACAGTAACATTACTTGCCTGTGAATATAGACGTTAATATTATAGGCATCATACACACATACACAAAACTTAAATCTCAGTCTTGATGTTGAAATCTATCCTAACTTTCAAAAGACAGTCCCCTCAGTTTGCTGTATTTGCTTTAAATAATGAAAAATCTGGTTTGGTGGGTTTTGTTATTTCTCTTAACATACATAGAATTCACTTACAAACTCCCTTTCTCGCTGATGTTTTTCCTCTGCTTCTTTAATAAGTTGGGTAGTTTGCTGAAGTTTGGCATCCACAAGTTGCTGCTGCAGTTCTTTATGTTTGAACACTTTATCAATATGCTAAAGGAAGAAAGAAAATCATATTAGTCAAATATAAACAGTGCACTGGTCAATTAAGGTAAGTGTACGTGTATGGGGAGATGCATATTATTTAGAAGTTTCATGCAAAAGAAAAAGCCGAAAAAGACTGGTTTACATGCTTTTTTTATCCTGTTATTGCCATACATTACAGCTACACATTTTTTGTCTTTCACGGAAGCCAGATGCATATTTAACGAAATTGGTACAATACTGTCAGTCACTTCACACCAGGCGTTTCAGAAATCCTGTAACAAGTAGTCTACATCCTTTCTTCTAAAGTTGGTGTATCTACCTCTAATCCTAATTGTATTTTGTTACATCTAAAAGCGCTAGTCCTCATAATTAAAAAAAGCTCAAAATGAGCAAGGTTTGCTACAATAGTTTGACTCATGAAATTCCACAAATCATTGAATTTTGCAGTCTTACTTCCATCCGTAAAGTAGCACAAGGCAGCTTCCTACCTCTTTTCTTCCCCAAATTATCTCATGGTAGATACAAATATTCCATGAGCACAAAAAGGTGGGGAACTAGAGTCTACAGAGAGCTTTCTAACTGATCCAGATTTAAAAAAAAAAAACCACCAAAAAAACAAAACAACAAAACCAGTTGTGAAATTATATTCCAAACCTCCTATGCCAGCTAAGAACTAATCTTAGCTGTAGAACTCCTTGAAACTTAGTTCTCTCTCTGACAAGGAGAATCGGCTGTTTTCCATTACTGTAGCTTCGACTGGCTAGCTCACATACTGGTGCCAATTAAAGCCAGCTCCGTTAGCCCTAAAATACAGTCATTTCCATGACACCAGCCCAAATATATTCTTAAAGCGTGACAGCTTATTTTGAGTCTACGCCAACAAGAAGAGCTACATACACAAAGGAGTTTGCCAAAACCCCCAAACCTTAATGAACCAAAACAAATAAGACAGAGAATAACTCTTATACCCCTCCTCCCATTATAACGTGAAATTATAATTCAGAAGAACTTCAAATATTAATACATATTTATGTTGGAAATAACCTTTGGAAGCCATTTAGTCCACTCAAATCAGGATCAACTTCCAAGTGATCAGGTTGCTCACACCTTGCCCAGTTGAGTTCCGAATACCTCTAAAGACAGAGATTCCACAATCTCTGGACAACTTATTTCGATTTGACCGCTTTCACCGTGAAAGATCTTTTTCAATGCATCTTGAATTTAGATATGCAAAACCAGGCAGGAAAGGCAGATGGTGGGCCAAACAGCTACTTAATTTTTCACAGTAGTGAAGTAAAGAATAATATAAAATATATATACAATGGCCGTAAAGTATTAGGGTTTCTTCTCCCCTTTAAATAATTATCTGATCCTTACGGTCAAGGAACTAACAGAATCCCATTAGAAGCGTAATGTAAGCACCTCTTCTCGCAATGCATACTGCTCAATGAGTTTCTTCAGTTTTTCCCCCAGTTCAATATTTTCCTGCCGGAGCTTGGCATTATGTATACCATGCTGTTCCAGTTGAGCCTGAATTTCATTCAGCGTAATCTGGAAGTGTGCAGTTGCTTCTTTCCGTCTTTCTTCTTCTTCACGCGCTTGCTGCATGTTTTCTTCCTTTTATGAGAAAATATGAATGTGTTCAAGCTAAACCATGCACCTTTTTCGTATTTTTTGAGTCAGAAACAATGGTAAGAACTCACTCACGGACAGTTTCAGGTTCTGGAGTGCTAGAGTTAACATAAGCCACAATTATAATATGCTATGCTGACTACCCATATGAAGTGAACGGAATGAAGAACCTAGAAATTCCAAAACTTTTAGAGAATCTTGACCTTACCACTACCAACATTACTCAGAGGCTGGTATTATAAGATGCTACGTGAATACCTTTGCAAACATGAGAATTACCCAGATGTTAAAAACAGCACTGATACTATAATGAAATTTCCTACAGTAATCACAGATAAGAATCTCTTTGCTCTCTTCCATTTCACTCCCATCTATTATATTAAGACAGAATTAACCCTTTTTTGATAACAGCAGCATGAAATGGTAGGGTATTTCACTTGTGCTATTTTTTCCAGCAGTCATCAGCACTGCTCCCAGAAACAAATATAGCAAGATCACATACTGTGAGTACTATGATCTATGAACCAGTTTGAGAGGAAAAAAAATTAGCAAGTTGAACTATCCCCACATTCTTTACCTTAAAATCAAGTACACTCATGCCACATGCCACTCGTCTTCCACAGGTACGGGTAATGAGCAAAGTGGTAAGTAAAAAGCAGCAATCAATAAGTAAGATTTCCACCACCACTGGCACTGTAATTTACGTAAATAAACTAACCTTCAAAGTCTTGTTATGACGCTGAAGCTCCCGACAGAGAGATTCCAGTTTGCTACGTGCCAAAATGGCCTTGCTATGCTCACTCTGCAAGTGGACCTTCTCCTTCACAACTTGTGCTTGCTTCTTCTGCAGTATCTTCATCTGCTTTTGAACATTCCGGCTCTCCTCCAACTAACATTAGAGAGTATATTTATTAAATAAACATAGGCAAAACTATCCTTATGCATCTAGATGAGCAGACTGAACAAACTTTTAAACATTTCAGATGAAAGCAAGGAAATCAAATAATTTCATTAAGACCCCCAAGTTGATCTTAAAGAGAAACTCCCATCATCCTACAGACAATTCTAAATGTGTGAGGACAGAAGATGACAATATACAAATTCCAACTTAACAAACATTTGCCTTTGAGGAACAGGGACCATGTACCTGTTGACCACGGGCTATCAGCTTGCAATCAGCTACAGGGGTAGGACTAGCCCTCAGAAAGGAGGATGTGGCAGATACAATTAAAAGCCAACTGAGACTGGCTTTTCAACAAGTCACAACTTTTTCCACTCTCTTATCTGTAAGGTACACACAGCTGTTTATCCAACAGGTCTTGTTTTTACTATCAAAATGAAAAACCCACTGAACTGTGTACAGAGTTCGTTCTTGTCAGCAGGAGCTCCTACCAAAGGAAGCAGTAATTGATACAAGCTTATAAAATGCTAAGGTATTTCAGGAAAGAAGAGATACAACCAGTAGCCCTGACAAATAGAGTAAAATACTGTTAAAGCTGCACAGCCCAGGCTTTGATGACTTAAGAGGTCTGTAGTCTCAACCATTTAAAACAAAATTTTTATTCTATTTCCTTTTGGCTGTTTGGATGGTAGACGACAGCGTTAAATTTTGTATACAGTGCTGACTTCAAAATCTATTCTATGAATACCCAGTGAATGGAAGTTTCTTGCATTATCTAGTTGAGAGTAAGTTCCATTACACATGATTTTTGGGCTCCCCAAGAAACCATATTATTTAGAGTCTGTTCTACTGTGAAGAAGGTAACAATGTTAAGTGTAACACTGCTCCTTATTAGATAGTGCCTCAGCCTTGGGACACCACAGGAAAAGAAGGCTGGCAATGAGGAACATCACCATGACAGAGAAGAATACAATGCTGGTTTTCTGAAAGAGCTCAAAATAATGCTGAAGCACAGAAGAAAGAATAAATAAAGTTAAGGACCTCCATGACAACAGTACATTAAATGTATATTTAATCTAGTTTAGAGAAAAGGAATGTTAAGGAAATGTTTTGATATCCAAACATAAAAAGCCCTTTTCTTGGGTGGCCAGAAAAAACACTTGAAGTGGCTGTGCTGTTTGCGTACCTATGAAACTTCAGGCCTGTAAAAGTATGCCAGTGTGAGACATACCACCAAGGATGCACACCTTCCTGCATCACAAATTGATCTCCTGATAGATTCCAAATTAGGAAAAAAAAAAAATTGTGGAAGATCTTTTGCCAGGAGAGAGGCATTCCTACCTTTATTGTACAGTCCTTTTCATGAGACACCACTGAAAAACCTGACAGTGAGCTTTAAAGATGATGAATCTTTAAAAAAAGAAAAAAAGCATTGTAGGTGCACTGTCATAAACAGTTTAAACCTCTGCTGGCATTAAAGCTGACACTTATGCCAGTGGTTCACCACCACCATCATGAAGAAAAGAATGCATCCTAAAAGGAACACAACCAGATCCAACCTAAACTTTTTAAGGGGATCAGAGTACCTCTAAGACTCATTCAGCTAAAACGGAGCTGCTGTTACACCCGGACAAGCTCCCACCCAACTTCCCAGCAGTTCTGAGCATCATGGGGAAAGCAACTGGTTTTCTAGGATGGTGACTATCTATGGACTGTGAATGCTTACTCTACTTACAGACTATGGATCCTCTCTTGGGAGAGGAAAAACCGTAACATGAACACGTCTCTCCCGATTGCCAAGCTTCTTGAAGGGAATTACAATTCATTTGGTCTAGGTGTTCCCTAATTGTTTTGAGATCTTTCCTTCAACAAGAAAACTCAAAATGAAGATGGTGCAGACTGTTTTCTTTCTGCAGAAGCAAGGAATTCAAGCCAAGCTAGCTCCTCATGTAGGCCACCATCATCACCTCTGTGATTTGACATGGGAGCTGTTTGCTCAAATAGAAAAGGCATCATATGCACAAGCAACTGCTCATAAGAACTAATTCATTTACTGCATTTTTCTCTCACAATATCAAAGCTAATTTTTAAATGGGCTCCCCATCCTTGAGTTGCACTATGGAAGTACTATTGTTTCTCATTTAAATGAAAGTGACTTCTTAGAGAAGCTGCTGGTTTTGAAGCAAATTCACTCACGTGAACAAGAGCGTGCATGTGAGAGAGAGAGCAAGGAAAACAAAGCAAAAACATAACAGACCTCCAAGGAGGACTCAGGATTTTCTAAACAGAACTTATCTAAGTCTATTCTTAAGTAATTAGTATTGCCTCTGCTAGCTCATCCTCAAAGCTCTGGAGACATTATTAATCTCAAAGGAAAAACAAATTTATTTCAGAAGAGTTATGCCATGTTGTGCAGCCATTATGTCATTTTCAGAAACATTTTCATACATAATACACTTGACATCTACAGAATGCAAATCTTATGCTTTTTTCAAGCTATTAAGTTATCTCTTTAGTTTTGCATTCATTTCATATCTACAAATATGGTGGGAAAACATATACATGCAGTATTTCCAGTCTTTCCATTCTTGTCTGTCCCTGTCCCAAGAAGACCAAGTGAAGCATTTTTGTCTCCAGGCACATTCTGAAAAGTCAACTTATGAGCCTTCCCCCCCCCGCCCCCAGTTTTGCCATCAATTAATTTAGAAAATAAATGATCATTTCTCCTACTTGGGGTGGGAATGCAATTTATGATCCATTACTGCTAACATTTTGCCTTTTTGGTTTGTTACTGAAGAAATGTATACTTTTCTATCCATTCCTTTGCATGATCAGAAAGCACAAAGCAAAATTAAACCTAGATCTTTCCAACTTCCCCTACCCCCCCAAAATCACTAAAAAGTTAAGTATAACTGAACTTCTTTTTTTCAACTCTCGTTATCACAGTATATTCTTTCCCTTTATTCTAAAGGGTATAAGTTATAAAATGCTAGCACAAAAGCATTATCAACAGACAAAACCTAAAAAAATAATTAGTCCCAAAAGAAACTCTTAGCTTTTCTGTTAATCCTAATGTTATGCTTCAGCACCAAGTTATCAAAAGGTTATCATAACCTATTTTTTCTTTGGATTTAGGCAGTCATGTAGAAGTGAAATGACTACATGCAAGTTTGGCTGAAGCAATACTCATAATAAGCCTGAGTGTTCTTTTTTTTTTCCCCTACCAACACAGTGAAACATTCAAAATTGTTAACTGTCCTGTATTAGGAGTTCCTGCATTCCACAGTTAATATTAACACATGAATAACTCCTGCTATCTTTACAAATTACTTACCAGATCAGCATACTTCTTGCACAAAGCTGCCAGCTTTTCCTCTGGAGTAGAAAGTGTGTTCAAGGCTTGCATTAATAATAGCACTTCTTTTCCTATGAATTGGATGAAAGACAACCATATTGAGAAAAAACATACCAGAAAAGCAGCCTGTCTTTAGAAGTAAAATAAGAACCATGAGAAATTAGCGTGAATTAAGTTGTTCTGTGGTTTGATAGCTGCATAATCCAAATGGATGACAAATGGGAAGTTATCACTGTAAGAATAGATCTGCCTTGCCTATGTGCCATTATGCAACTTGGACAGCAAAAGTTACTTTAATCTTAAAACCACAAAAATATTTTTGTTTTATAACTTATAATAGCACAGATAAAAAGAAAAATCTGAAAGAGTGAAATGTAAAAGGTTAAGTTTTGCTAATAAAGGATATTCACACAAGTGGTCTTAATAAGCCTTTGCCATTTAAATATCAGCAGTGCTTTGGTAGCATTGAACACCACAATCCCAAATTCAAAAGTTAGTCCAACAGCCAGAAAGTTAAAAAAGCTGATTAGTGATTACCACATTATTATTATTAAAGTTCCTGTAAAAACAGCTTTACCAGCGGAAGGATTCTTACATATGCATTAAGAACTGTCTTTTCCTAAGCAGAAGTACACATTTTCTCAGAATATCCTGTTAAAGATGACAAGTTTTGGCTACAAAGTAAACTTGAGACAAGACAGAGAAAATGCATAGCTATTTTACAAAAATATTAAAGCCATTTAAAAATCAAAATGCCAAAGAGAACATACCCAAAGTTTTCTCTTTGTGTTTTTCACCCTCTGGATCTTGTTGGCCATCAGGTGGATCAGTACGGGCTTCTTCTCTCCCAGGAGTCTCCTCACGAGACTCTTGAGAGCAGCACATGGACTCTGGGTGCTTTCTGTTCTTTGTGATATACTCAGCTTCTTCCGATGCGCCCGTGTTTTCCAGGCCGTAACAGTTGGACTGCGCATGCTGCAACGCTGTATCAGACAACTCATTGCACTTGCTGTTCACCAGCTGATCCCGGTTATTCAGTCCCATCTCCTGAGATCCAGCTTCTTCCATTGCATCACCAATCAACTTCAGAAGGGAAAGGAAGAAGTGGAAGTAAACACTCAAGCAACTGTATTTAACATGAAAACTCCCACCTTTCTTTTGCATGGACAAATAAGTAAAATTCCACCGTTACTCAAGTTGATCAAGTTGATACTCACTGTTGTTAAGACAGGTATATAAATAACTGTACACAGAATGAGCCTAAAGAGTGGTGAGGAAAACAGCACACAACAGCCCAAAATATTAATTACTCTATTATTAAACAACTTCGATACCTTGTCATTGCAGAAATGTTTATACTCTAGAAATTAAAAGTTCACATGGAAATATGTTCTTAAAGCTCCAAAACTAATTGGCTATCATCTCTGCTGTTAAAGCACACATTCTTAAATGAAAACATTTCTCCCTCATAGTTCTTAAAAATGTAACTCACAAATCAACACTAAGTATACTAAATCTAAAACCCAGCAAGAGTTTAGCTAGCTTTATATACTGTTATTTGAAAAATAAGGTACAGAAATTGAGACAGGAGAACACCATTATTAAAAACAACTTTATCACATATTAGTTTGACAAAACTGGAAGATATCAGTTTTAAAATAATTCAAGAGACATAGTCCAAGAAAGAGGGAGAAAAAATTATCCTGCTAGGAAGTCTAAAGAAATCCACAGAAATATATTGTTTCGATAACATCCATAGGGTAAGAGTTTAAACTACTTCAATTAGAAAGCCAAATACGATTGTATTGGAGAAAATCTGTTGGCATAACAAGAATGATAAACAGGACCAGGAGCACATCCATTTTCGAAATGTTAAAATTCACATCTATGAAATCATAAAAAAAAGTGAGTATTTACTGGCTTCAGATTTGGAGCCCTACTACCTATGATTTTTAACAATAAATTATTTCTGCTCAATTAAACAGAACTTTCTCAAAAGATTTCTTAAACCCCAAAATGTTCAATCATTTAACCAAAAAGTTAAACATCACCAGTTGTTTTAACACTGCAGTGATATGTCCATATTTTGGAGCAGAATACCTGCTGATACCACTCTATAGCTTATTAAGCAGCTACCAGACCCCCCTCTTAATCACCAGAACAACATTCTCAATTTCCAGAAACATTTAAGGCTGATGAGAACCTCAAGAGTGTTTGATTGGATGTTGTTTTGTTTTGTTTGTTTTGTTACACTACAGAGGCTGGGACTCAGGACAATACTTGGAGGTGATTGGGGATTTCCATTTGCAATCCTACGACACAATGTGGACACATAGTTAGAAGTATGATAAGCAGAGGTGAACCCACTTTACTGCCAAAGTAAAGCAATCATTCTCATTGATTTATTTTCAACGAAAGTAAATTTCCTTAAAAAGTCACAACGAATTATAAAAACAGGGCTTGTTTATATGCAGAGTTATGCTGTTTAAATACAAATTAATTTCAGATTATCTTATATTTTAATACTAAAAATGTGCTAATTCTTAAAGCCAGGAGTTTGCACTGGGTTTTATATTATGTACAGATGGACCGTTTTCCTCTTCAAAAGGAATTAGCCAACATCAAAGGAATGCAGCCAACAGTAATAATATATTGTGAGATATATTTCAACTCCCAATTTGTTCAGCATGCTTGGAAGAGCTATTTAAAAATCATTAAACAAATATGCATTAATATTGTAAAAAAACATAACAGCTTAGTTGTTCTCTATACTTGAAGCAAGTCTCTTGCTTTAGACCTTATCTCAAGGCAAATTCATTCTTGAGAAGATGGAATTCATACATTCACGAAAGACAATAAGCTTTTTAACTGTAAATAATCTGTAGAGACATTAAGGAGCAACTTTTGACTTATCAAGGAAAATTCACTTTGCACTGCTCTTTACAAGTGTAGAAATGATGCACCTGCTTTATGGACAAATATAAACACACTGCAGTTTTATCATTCTCCAACCATGTCAGACAACATATTTGATAAATGCCTGAAAACGTAATGCAGTAATAGAATTGCTGTAACAAATAACCAACCCCAACATTTAACAGCTGACTTTTTAGAGCTGTAAAATGCATTTTTTTTTTTCCTTAGATTGCCTTAAACTGTGGGGCTTCCATTGGCACGGGAAAGGCTTACCCCTCCAAGTTTAGGGTCAGCTAAACAAACAAAAGATGCTTCTTAAAAAAGGACAAGAGATGTGAAAACAACAGAGCTCACTTAACCTTTTTGTAGGTACCAATGGTACCAAACCATGGCACAATTCTCCCTTAAACACGATACAGAAGCTGAACATACTGTGTCACATTACATTGACAAGACAGGAAAGATCAGAGGTATCTGAACACAATACAATACCAGAGTAGAACTGCAGCACCAACACAACAGCTGAAACTTGCAGTTTTTCCACCACATAGAACATGAACTTCCGATTCAGGTACTTG